CAACAACAGCAAAAGCAGCAGCAGGAATCATCAACAGCAGGGCTAACAGCAGAGGGAGCAGGAGCTGCTGCAGGCCCTCTTGAAGCTCTCCCATTTATACTTTCTCTGGAGTCCCCGGAATTAAGAAATCTGCAGCTGGCAAAAACCACGCCCCTCTCAGAACATGAGACATAGTTAATGGCTGTGGACAATCTGAAGCAGCTCCAGAAACATTCACGTAAAATAACTTTTTTTTTTTTTTTAAAGACTGAAATTCTCATTATACTCACGTATTTAAGTGCTTAGTCATGATGCGTTATTTGAGAAGGATTAGGAGGTGTGGCCTGGTTGGAATAGGTATGTCTCTGTTGGAGAAGTGTGTCTTGCTTCCTTTTCATAGAGTTGCCATGGTCAAGGTGTCTCTTCACAGAAACAGGGCAGTGATAGGACACCAGCCAGGCAATTAACCCGGTCACTGAAAGGACACGCTGCAGCGTGTTGAACTCCTTCAGGCTTTGCAATGAGCTCCAAGTCCCGGTGTTTGTGAGCTGTCACCGTGCTGGGGCTTTGGCGAGGCAGCTGTCTCCAAGTCGTTTCTGCTCCTCTAAGCAACCCCTCACCCATACTACCCTGTCACCACATAAAACTCATTGATTCACAAGGTTGACCTTCAGTCATCAGTTCTCTGGGGTGAGCAGGAATTTGCTCCAATCTCCCCAGGAATAGTGTCACACAGCTTAAGTGCAGAGCCATCTTCTGTCACACATTGGAGGCCAGCCTTGGCTACAGGAGACCCTGCTTAAAAAAGAAAAAGAAAAGTGCCATGCCTTTAATCCCAGTATTTGAGAGGCAGAGACAGAGGCAGAGGCAGGCAGATCTCTTAAGTGTGAGTCAGTTCCAGGACAGCCTGGGCTACACAGAGAAACCCTGGCTTAAAAAGAAAGAAGGAGCACGTGCCTTTAATCCCAGCACTCAGGAGGCAGAGACAGGTGGATCTCTGAGTTCGAGGCCAGCCTGGTCAATGAGAATCGTAGAGGGCAGTGCAGTGCCCTGAGAAAGCCAGGCAGGCTGGGCTCCTCTGAGGAGAGCCCACAGGATACCCAGTGTGGTGGGGAATGCTTGTAACTCCCTGGGCCACTGAGCTAGGAGAATCACCCTGTGCCATGAAGGCAGAGGGGAGGGTACTCCCTGGGAAGACCTAACTGATGGCTGTTCATGTCTGTGACAAGCGCCGTGCCCTTTGACCTTCCCCCGAATGGACTGTCAAAAAAAAGCCCTTCTGCCTTGGTTAGTCGTATGTTAACTTAGCATACACTAGAGGCTCTCGACTGAGAAAACGCCTCTACCAGACTGACTTGTAGACAGGTGTGTAATGAAGCCCACTGTGGGAGGTGGCACCCGTGGGCTGGTGGTCCTGGGTGGTGTATTTAAGCCTCCTGAGCAAGCCATGGGAAAAAGCCAGTTAGCAGCCTCCTCCACGGTTTCTCCGTCGGCGCCTGCCTCAAGGCTCCTTCCATGAGTTCCCGGCCTGACCTCCCTCAACGATGGACAGTTACTTGGAAGTGTGCGATGAACTAAGCCCTTTTCCTCCCAAGTTGCTTAGTCATGGTGTCTGAGCGTAAGGAATGGAAGCCCTAACTGAGCACCCCAATTCAGAGAAGTATCAAATCCCCCTGAACATCATTCTTGGGGACAATCTGTCATAGCGCACGTCACGTCAGAGCACAGAGCATGGGGCGTGAGCAGCAATGGCGGCCGTGAGGCTGCCTGACCTGACCGAAACACAGCCGTCCTCAGGGAGACCCGTGGGCACTGGGCATCCAGAGGTTAGCAAGGTTCCTGGTCACGTGGGAAGGATCCGTCTTTGCCAGAGTAAAGCAAACAAAGAAATGAGTTGATTCAGGCAGACGGCACGAACAGACTCTGCTATCTCTGTCCCCGGATGGCTCTTTAGAGACATCAGAACCCTGTGGGGACTCAGGACGTGGCTGATGGCTGGAGCTCCCGCTTTACTTTGGATGGACCATGAAGACAAGGGCTGTCCTAGGACTGGCCCAGGAACTCTGGAAACCACCTGAGACAAGCGACAGGGCCCTGTTATGTAGCCCAGGCTGGCTTCGAACTCTGCACCCTCCTGCCGCACACCCCTGGGATTATAGATGTGTGCTGTAATGCCTAACTTCTCTTCCTGATTTAGGCATCTGGAGACCCCAGCCCAGGGCAACGTCTCCGACCCCACAGTCACACCTCTGCGTCTATGACGCTTGCCTCCGTGGCCCAGGGCGCCTACCTGGACCAGCACCGAAACTCACAGCAGGTTCACCCTCTGCCACCACCACAAAGCAAGGGGCGCTACTGCTTTGATTCTGGAGCTCCTGGCTCCTATGTCACACTGCCTCGGTCGTTCGAGTTCCTACCCTAAGACATAAATGGTGCCGTGCCTCCATTATGGCAGCTAGGGTGGCCCCTGACACAAAGATCAGATCTAACTTCGTGTCTCTGAGGTAAAAGTGACGGCTGCTTCTGGAACTCGATTTGAATCACATCTACTCAATACCAGGCAAGACTCCCGGGGCCATGGAACCCGAGTGCCCACGGCTGTCTGCCCTGCTCAGTGCAAGCAGTTTCTTCCCCATTTGCTGAGCGTTTCCCCTGTGAGTTCCATGACCCAGAAAGCAATGTCTTGCTGTAGGTGCTGTAGTACCACCACAGAGGGAGGCAGGAGGGGACAGGATGCCTTCCTGCTCCTCTAGGCTTGCTTTCCAAAAATTAAATATTCTCATGAATATTTGTGGGGGATCATTAACACAAAACAGCACTTAGGAGCAGGCAACAGCAGGTCTCTCTGCTCTCCTGTAGGATAGTTTGAATCTGAACGGTCTCCAGCAGGCTTCTGCTTTGAATGCTCAGTCCCCAGCTGACTGAGGACTGTTTTGAAGGCTATGGAGACTTTAAAAGGTCAGGCCTGGTTGGCATAAGTTACTAGGGAAAGGCTTTTGGAAGTTTTAAACCCGCTGCCCCCTATCTGGTTTCTGCTTTCTAGTCGGAGGGCAGTGAGGGCCTGGGGTATGGCTCGGTGGTAGAGCCCCTGCCTAGAATCCTTCAGTGAGGGGCTGGGGTGTGGCTCAGTGGTAGAGCCCCTGCCTAGAATATCTCAGTGAAGGGCTGGGGGCATGGCTAGAATTAAAGAGAGGAAAAAAGGGAGAAAGGGAGGTAGAAAAAGGAAGAAAGAGGAAGGAATAGAAAAGAGAGCAACATGTTCTTTTTGTCTTTGTTTTCTCACATGTGTGTTTTTGAGGGTGTTTTAAAAATGTGTGGCAGTGTTTGTCCTCATATAGATATATACAGCATGTATATTTAGTGTACTCTGGAGTTACAGTGTCAACTGCCATGCCACACAGGAGCTGGGAACGGACCTCAGGTCCTCTGCAAGAGCAGCCTTAACCCCTGAGCCATCCCTCCGGCTCTCAGGACTTGTGAGGATCTCCTAACTTGCTGCTGACTAAGCAGGTCACAATTGGAACTGGAGGAAACAAGGAGGGAGAAGGAACGTTGCGGGGGGGTGTGCCTCTCTCTCTTCTGCGGGCGGCCACAGCGACACCCCACTTGAGTGAGCCTCACCATCTCTCATCTGTAGCCCGGGCCAGCCTCAGTCTGTAGAGCCCTGAACCCAGCGCTCCTCTCGAGGGGACTGCCTGGCAGGCTTGAGGGAAGGACCCACCAGGTGCCCAGACCCCGATGCTTCATAGCTTGGGCCTCACTGGCCCGCCCTGGACGGCCAGTGCTGTCACAGTTCCCATGCTCGCTTGCAGAAGGAAAGGAAAGTTCATAGAACCTGATCTGACCCGGAGTTCCCAGTGCAGAGACTTGGACGGCAGCCCGAAGCTGCCTGGCCGTCCAAGAGATGCAGGCTAACGAGGGAAAGCCGGTCTGTCTCAGCCTCGAGGCCGAAGGAAACTGGTTGGGGTGGACGCCACAAGGAAGTCAAGACAACAGAGGAATCAACTGAAGCCGGGAGCCTCATTCTGAGAATGGGCGACCTTCTAGACATCAAGGAAGGACCGGGTCAGAAAACAGAAGAGAATCTGACAGGGGTGGGGGCAGGGGGTAGGGGGGACAGGTGGGGGGATGGGAGAGGTGGGAGGAATGGGAGGGTGGTGGGAGGGAGGACCGGGAGGGAGGACCGGGAGGGTGGAGGGCAGTGTCTAAGGGTTGGTGGTGGGAGGGGAGGCAGGAAGCAGGGACAGAAAAATCTGTGGAAGTCGGAACAGATCAGCTCTCCAGGGAGAGGAGAGCGCCGCTGCCCTCCCCCTTTGAATTTGAGAGGAAACTGCTCAATTACGGACCTGCCTCTCTCTCTGGTCACGTGACCTCTGCTAGTATAACAGCTTCCCACCAGCCAGGTTCCTTATAATTTTTGGCTCCCCGCCCCCTCCTCCCTTTTCTGTATGAAACGGGCTGCAGCATTGCTAAAAGTCCCCTGGCCTCTTGCACCAGGAACCCCCAAGAAACCTTCTGTCGGAAGCCAGGCAAGGCAGGGCACTCAGGGCAAGACCCTGGGGCTTGGATTCGAGGAGCAGGTGGGGGGGGGGGGAAGAGGGTGAGGCTGGAGGATGCCTGCCAGAGCAAAAAAAGCAAAGATCAGACCCAGTGACTGTGTGTGTGAGATGGGTGTGTGTGTGTGTGTGTGTGTGTGTGTGAGAGAGAGAGAGAGAGAGAGACAGAGGTGGGTGGGTGGGTGTGTGTGAGAGGGTGGGGGTGGGGGGTGTTTGTGTGTGTGTGTGAACCACAGACTGAGAATGAATAATCGGGGTGAGAGAGATGGTGAGGTAGCAGCAAGGGTTATAACCAAGTGGAAACAGAGTCAGCTCACTTAGAGGAGGAGGTGTCCTGTATACAGTCAAAACACCAGGCTTAGGCCACCTGAACCCTCTGGGCTTCCAGGACCGTGGGTCTGAAATTTTGGGGGGCCAGACCACAGAGCAAGGAGCCAGCTTAGTCTTTCTCCTTGTCTGCCTTAGCCCCCCCTTTTTGGAAGGATCCACAGGGCTGGACCAGAGCGGAAGCAGGTGGAAGAACCCTGTGGTCAGCCCAAGGAGGTAAGCTGCTGGCCTGGGGGAGGGGTAGAGGTAGAGGCCGGGCACCTGAAGCGGAGGAGAGGCAGCCCAGGGCTGGCAGGGCATGCCTTCTGGAAGTTTCCTTTTTTCTCCCAAGACACACCTTTTCTCCCAAGACACACCTTCCCAGCCTCTATGGCTGCCTTCCTCTCCCACCAGGCTTTGGCTCCCGGCCCCCGCCACCACTGAGCCCTGGGAACTGATCACTTCCTATTAACTTAACTAGGAAGAGGGCCCTGGAAAGCCGAGGGGGAATTCCCCTGGGAAGCGAGTTGGTCTCCCCCAGGAGACACAGGATGGCAAACGTAATAACTGTGGCTTAATATCCCGCCCAAGGCTAAGTCAATAATTGCTCTGGGCAGTTCTGGCAGGTGGCTTGGGCGAGCGGCTGAGGAGCAGACAGCTTTGGTCTGGGGACAGGACAGCGCCAGAGAGGATGTGAGCCGCCGGGAGCCCTGCGGAAGGAGGGTCTGGAGGCTGTGAGTTAAGGGGGGGTGGGGCTCCTGACCCGACCCTTCTCCCCCACCTTCCAGGATGACCCCAGACTGGCACAGCTCCTTGATCCTCACGGCCTACATCCTTATCTTCCTCACTGGGCTCCCCGCCAACCTGCTGGCCCTGCGGGCCTTCGTGAGCCGGGTCCGCCAGCCCCAGCCCGCCCCGGTGCACGTCCTCCTGCTCAACCTGACCCTGGCGGACCTGCTCCTGTTGCTGCTGCTGCCCTTCCGGATCGTGGAGGCGGCGTCCAACTTCCGCTGGTACCTCCCGAAGATCGTGTGCGCGCTCACGGGCTTCGGCTTCTACAGCAGCATTTACTGCAGCACGTGGCTGCTGGCGGGCATCAGCGTGGAGCGCTACCTGGGAGTGGCCTTCCCCGTGCAGTACAAGCTGTCCCGCCGGCCGCTGTACGGGGTGGTGGCCGCGCTGGTGGCCTGGGTCCTGTCCTTCGGCCACGGCACCATCGTCATCGTGGTCCAGTACCTGAACTCCACCGAGCAGGGCGTCTCCGCCAATCAGATAACCTGCTACGAAAACTTCACTCAGGAGCAGCTGGACGTGGTGCTGCCCGTGCGGCTGGAGCTGTGCCTGGTCCTCTTCCTCGTCCCCCTGGCCGTCACCATCTTCTGCTACTGGCGCTTCGTGTGGATCATGCTCACGCAGCCCCACGTCGGGGCGCAGAGGCGACGCCGGGCGGTGGGCCTGGCCGTGGTGACGCTTCTCAATTTCCTGGTGTGCTTCGGGCCTTACAACATGTCTCACCTGGTGGGTTTCTTCATGAGGCAGAGCCCCTCGTGGCGGGTGGAGGCCGTGGTGTTCAGCTCCCTCAACGCCAGCCTGGACCCGCTGCTCTTCTACTTCTCTTCCTCCGTGGTGCGCAGGGCTTTTGGGCAAAGCGTGCTGCTCTTCCGCAATCCCGGCTCCACGGTGCTGGGCAGAGGGACCAAGGAGACCTCGGTGGAGGGGACCAGGATGGACAGGGGTGGGAGTCAGGCGGAGGGGGTGCAGAGCTCAGACGTCATCACCGAGTAGAGAGCTCCCCGGGTCTTCCTGAGCATCCGGGTCACCCAGAAGTTGGGCCGTCTAGCAGAGCACCTGGGACTTCGTAAAAGAGAAAAGATTAAAAAAAAGAAGAAAACAAAAAGGAGAGCTACCCACCCGCTTGACATCACTGCGTGACTGGATTTTCCTGCCCAGAGAAGAGCTGCAGCCTTAAAACACAGAAGGGCCAGGGGCCCGCAAGCCAGGTGGTTCACGGGTGAGCAGTTTTTAAAGTAATTTTCCTCCAAGCTTGGAAACATCACTTGGAGACAGAGGTCTGGCTGGGGATTCTGGAAGGAAGCCGATGAGAAAAGACTAGGGGGACCTGTGGGGAGAAGAGAAGTCTCAGGAAAGCTCTCAGCCACGGGACTATCCGGGAGGACGGGGGCTCCTTCTGTGGTGGTCTTGGTCTTTGTGTACCCGTTTGAGCTGTCCCCTTTGTAAATGCCCTCAAGCCTATTTTCCCCGTTTTGGTTTTGCCTCCGCTGTTAAGCTGGGGGCGGGGTTGCGCGTTTATCCTCCCCCAACCCAGGCGAGGATGTGTCTTGGTACCAGTCTGTCTGACTCTGACACTGACCTGCGTGGGAGGACAGGAAGGAAAAAATAATACCTGGTTTGGCAGGTTAAAAATAAAAATGATGAAAGTGTGAAGCAAATGTTCATGGGTTTTGGCAAACGCCTTCATGACCCAGGAAGCAAGGGATGGAGGCCCCAATACAACAGCAGAGGGAGAAAAGGTAGGGTAGAGACCCCCCCCCCCAAAAAAAAACACTTTCAAATGATGATGTTGTGGGGGCAAAGGGAGTAAGGGTGCTGATGTGGTCCTGTGGGGTGTGGGTGAGTCCCACCTGGGGCTGCTGACCCAGCAGGCGGCTTAGGACCTGCTCCTCCCTGCTCGGAAGGCCCCAGTTTTATTGTGTCAAGCCCACCTCCCTCAGAAATCAGATCACAGCATGCCTCTGCCTGCCCTGGGCTCCTCTCCCTTCCTGGATATCTTTTTCCACCAGCCTAACTCATTTCTCCGCAAGGACCTGAGTGACCTTCCTTCCCGGTGTGATTAGCTCTCTCTGCTGGGGCAGAGACAGGGCCAGCCAGACGGGAAAACCCTGTCTTTAAAAAAGCAAGTTAAAAACTTAGAAACACTAGAAAAATTGTTTTGAGACGGGCTCCCATAGGTAGCTGAGGCTGGCTTTGAACTCCCTACAAAGCCAAGAGTGATCTTGAGCTCCTCATCCTCCTGCCTCCACCCCCTCCCCAAGTATGGAATACATGCATGAGCCACCCCGACTGTCCTGGAAATAATATATTAAACCATGAGACTGGCTGGTTCAGTGGGTAAAAGCGCTCGCTGTGTAAACCTGCTGACCTGGTTTTGATTCTCAGAATCCACAAAAGGTAGGATGTGGTGGGGTACACCTATAATCCCCTCACCCCCACAGCAACCGGAGGTGGAGCTAGGGGCCAGCTAGCCTGGGCGACAAAGCATTGCAGAACCAAGAGAGATCTACTCAATCTGAGCAAGGTGGAAGGAAATAAAGACTCCAAAGTTGTCCTCTGACTTTCACATACATGCTGTATGGCACAAGGGCACACATGCATACACACAGGCACAAGCACACACATGCACACACAAACACAAACAAACAGTAAACCAAAATAAACCCATTTATTTTTGAGACATGGTCTTGCTGTGTAGCCTTGGCTATTCGTGAGCTCACTGTGTAGAGCAGGCTGACCTTGGATTTACAGAAACCCACCTCTTAAGGGCTGGGATTAAATCCAGACGGCTGAAGAGACAATTTCAAAGCCAACTATAGGACGCTGCGGCAGGAGCGAGACTCGGGTAACGTAGCTTACCGTGGCGTCTCATGCACTGCAGCTTGCAAAGGAGCTCAGCCAGGAGCTGTGGAGGTGGCCCAGTGGATAAAGCCGATGGCCTGAGCTGGATCCCCGAAACCCTCATGGTGTGTGTGGGGGAAGCCAACTCGTGCGGGTTTTCTGACCTCCACACGTGTCCCGTGGCACATGCGTTCACAGACAAGCGCGCACGCAAACATCCAAAAGGAGATGGGCCTACGGCAATGCTAAAGCTCACTTGGTTTAGATAGTTCAAGGAAGGAACTGAAGCAGGCCGGCAACAGCCCCGCCAGACCACCAAGGTCTGGTTAGAAGTGAGGCCCACGACTGTGACTCGGGGACCCGTGCGCTGTGAAATCGGACAGGATGCCGAGGCCCAGGACACAGCGTGCGAAAAACACGATCCCCACGAACAGCGTCTGGATTCCCAGAGCCGGCATGAAAAGGCCGTCTGTGTGGCACACGGCTGTACCCCGGCACTCTTGTCCTGAGAGGGCAGGCGGAGACAGGGAGGTCGCCTGGAGTCACGTGGTCAGCCAGCCGGCACAGACAACTCGGGAGAGCCTGCCTGGACAGGGTGGAGGCGGGAACGGACCGCTGAACGTTGTCCCCGCCTGCCTCACGCACCGTGGCACACATCTGTCTCTTCTCCTGAGGTCTTGACGGAAGAGGAGACACAATCCCTCCACCCTTCGTGGTGGGGTCCCCAATGAGCTCCTCGGGCTTCCTTAGGGAGCATGGGTGAGGTCTTCCTCCCAAAGGTGTGGGTGCTGCTCTCTCCCATGGGCCGTCCCCCCCCCCCCCCAGAGCCTTTTGGAGACTCCACCTACTCACCCAGCCCCAGGTTATAGTCTAACCCCTTCCTAAGGCAGAGTTGCTTACAGCAGGGGGTAGGGAGGGGCAGGCACTCAGGTGAGGGTCGAGGGACCTCCCCGGCCCTCCACAAAGGGTGTGAACGCTCAAGAAGGCCAGCTGGGACGATCCTTTGGTAAGGCCTCGCTGCCGAACTCAAAGGTGATGGCTGCTTGCCGAAAGCCGCCAAACTCAAAGGTGATGGCTGCTTGCCGAAAGCCGCCAAGGTTTGGCAACACCTGTTCATCTCTCCACACACGGAGCAAGTGAGTAAAATCTAAGGCGATGAAAGTAAGTAACAGCGAGAGCTCACGATAATAACGGGCGGCATTGACTGCTGGGCACTGGAGTTGGAGAGGGCCGGGGGAATGTCCCAAGACCGGTAGGTTAGGAGTTCAAATCTTAGGCCTCACTCCACAAACCCTGCTCTTTTCACTGAAGGAAGGGGCGTGCTCTAGCTAGTTGGCCACGTGGCTGGGACGTGATAAGACCTGTTGTATAGAGGATGCCGTTCGTTCAGTGAGGCCCCACAGGGCAGAGCAAAGAGCTTGGCGAGAAGAAGTGTGTCCGGCAGCTGGGAATTCACGTTCCAACATGTGAATTGCCCCAGCAAGACAGTCGCTCCCAATTTCCACGACTGTTGGAGGAGATGCCACACACATGTCCACCAGGACACCGAGACAGTGGACTTCTGATAAGCTCTGAGTTGACTAACTCCAGCCCTGCGGTCCCTGGCTCTTTAGCAACCACACTCACATCTTGCTAACTGGGGACCACGTTTTTGTTGCTATGACAAAACACCCGACAAAACTTAAGAGAGGAAGCCTTGGAAGAGGGCTCAGTGGTGTGAGTTCCTTCTGCGCCAGCGTGAGGGCATGAGTTCGAATCCCCAGCAGACACATAAAAATGCCAGGCATGGCTAAGAGTGCTTGTAACCCAGCACTGAGGCCCAGAGACAGGCAGGTCCTGAGAGTACGCTAGCCAGGCAGCCTAACCAAAATGGCGGGCTTCTGGTTCAATGAGAGTCTCTGCCTCAAGGCAACAGGGTGGACGCAGGAGGACATCCCTGGCCGCTCTGTGCACACACAGCACACACCCCCTCTCAGAAGAGGGTTTATTTTGGCTCGTGGTTTGAGGGGAAACAGTCACAGTGGGGATGCATGGCAGTGGGACCATGAAGTCACATCGCATCTGTAATCAGGAAGCAGAGAGAGAGAGATGAATGATGGAGCCTGGTACGTTTTCTCCTTTTTATTCAGCCCAGCCCTCCCCCACCCCCACCCCCACCCTCCACCCGCCTGCCCATGGACTGGTGCCACCCACACTCACAGCAAGTTTTCCCTCTTCAGTCAACCCAGACTGGGAACACAGACCCTCCCCCGTCGAGTTAACAATGAAATCTGACCGTCACGCACAACATGGAGTCACTTTGCTCTCAGTGGGAACCCAGGAAAATCAAAGAAAGTTAAGTCTGAGATGGTCTAGGAGAAGCTGCAGACGTTCGCTTGCAATCACTTCCAGGTCAGCCGGAGGTCGCTGGGAAGCAGGGGTTGGCTTCCGCAACAGGTATGGACCAATCATCTCACAGATACCTGGTAGCTTCCCTATAAGCCAGTCATGGTGGCCCGTATCTGCAACCCCAGACCTGGGAGGAAGCCAGGACTTGGATATGACTCCATGGGTGCTTGGTGTGCAAGCCTGGGGACTCGGCCTTAAATGCCCAGAACCCACATAACAGCCGGACGAGGTGGCACACGCCTGTAACTCCAGCACCAGAGATAGGGTCCTGGGGACACACAGGGCACCAGACTTCAGGTCCAATGAAAGGCCATGTCTCAAAAACCAATGCAGGGCCTGGAGACTCCGCAGTGGTTAGGAACACCGACCGCCCTTCCCAGTACCACAGCCCACAACAGCCTGTAACAGCCCCCACGGGATCCAACGCCCTCTTCAGGCAGGGTGTACTCAGATATACATGCAGGTAGAACACCCACACACAGAATACAAACAAATAATTTTTAAATTCAAAATAAAACTAATGTGACGAACCGTTGGAGGGGACTCCTGCTGTTGACCTCTGGCCTATACACACATTGTCACAAATGAATGTGTACACACACACACACACACACACACACACACTCAGGCAAACAAAGGTGTTCCCACAAACCCAGGGATACATGCATGCACATAGCACACATGGAGAGAACAGACAGACAGACAGAGATAGAGAGACACACAGAAAGAGACAGAGAGAGACAGAGAGACACAGATAGACAGAGAGAGAAACAGAGAAACACAGAGACAGATACAGAAAGAGACAGAGGCAGAGATAGATAGAGACGCAGAGAGAAACAGAGAGAGAACGCATTTACTTAGAGGCATAGCACTGAGGTGTGGCTGTTCCCCGAATTACTCGTGGGGCTGTCTGGGAGCTGTGACCAGTTGCCACGAGGAAGAATCACACAGCATACATAGCCTAAGAAAATTCAAAATTCATAACTGGATTTTGTCAAATTTCTACTGACTGTATTGCTGTCACACCAGTTTTTAAATTAACTTTTTTAATATTAATTACAGTTTATTTACTTTTTATCCCAGCTGTAGCTCCCTCCGTCATTCCCTCCCTCATCTCCTCCCTGCCCCTCTCTAAGTCCACTGATAGGGGAGATCTTCCTCCCCTTCCATCCGACCCTAGCTTATCAGTCTCATCAGGACTGGCTGCAATGTCCTCCTCTGTGGCCTAGCAAGGCTGCACCTCCCTTGGGGGTGGGGTGGGGCAGGCCAAAGAGCCAGCCACCGAGTTCATGTCAGAGACAGTCCCTGTTCCCCTTACTGGGGAACCCACTTGGATACTGAGCTGCCATGGGCTATGTCTAAGCAGGGGTTCTAGGTTATATCCATGCATGGTCCTTGGTTGGAGAATCAGTCTCAGAAAAGAC